GGGTTCGACAGATACTGGGATTCCTCTTTCTTGGATTTTTATGATTTTGATTGATGAAAGAAGCCATTTTTACAGTTGGATTTTGGACTTATAAGGATGTACCCGGTTGACTGATATCTTCACTCCCTGCCAAATTATTTTTGTATGTGCTTTCCTTTTTTAGGCGTGCTAATGGCACTATTTTGCCACGAATTTGTATCACTTTATGGTGTTCTTTATATACTTTATCTGGAAATGCTGTCTTTACGGGAAGTGAAATTAGGCTGCTTAAAGTTTGGATGCCAAAGGAAATTCTAACAACTGTTTACATAGACATAGGCAGATTGCTTAAATTTGACGAGTTCAATCTATAGGTTCTTATTACTGATCCGATTACACCTTAGAACTTTTGGGTTCAAGTTTAATATTTTTAAAATTTTTAATGATTTTTCACATGTATATTTATGCTCCATGCTCCATCTAGACCGTACATAGGACAATATCTTCTTATTTTTCTTGATTTCTGTTTGCATTTAAAAGTATTCTGCCTTGTTAAGGCTTTTGTGCAAGTGTTCCACCACAACAACTTCTACCTCAATCCCAAGCTAGTTGGTAGGCTATATGAGTCCTCAATATCCATTTCGTCTGGTACTCCAGTTGGACCTCTTCCATTTGAATACGTAATAATATTTTGAAATGCATTTTGTATTTTCTAGACTAAATTGCTAGTGCATTCCGAAGAAAATGTGATGCATTTATTATGCTTTATCTTGTAAATGTCATGGGAATTCCTCAACAAGTGTTAACGGAGTTTAGTTTAGCCTTTTTATCTGAATATTCTGCTTAATGCATGAAAGTGATTAAAATCACCATGGAAGGATCTTTATTTTTGATCTGAAAGTTCAAGAACTGCATGGTGGTGATTAGAGTTAAAGTTTTGATATGATTCTCATGTGGTTCATTGTGATTTGACCAACTTTCTTCTACTACTTAGTACTTCCAAATGTTCCTAAATTTTTATTTTCATAGGTTCCTGAGCTCACATCACTGACTTGATAAGGTGATGGTGGGTGAGGAAGATATTGATCTCTCAGCTTTAAAATCCCAATTGGCTCAAACAGACGTTACTTGGAAGCTAGAGATGGAGAAAAGTCAGTCCCAAGTGGATGCTTTGCAAGCAAAACTGTTGGAGGTAAAAGCTTGTATTCAAGGATCAGAGGAAGATACAAAGAGAGAGTTAGATGCTCTATGGCATAGAGTCAGAACTGCTACAACGTTGATGACGTACTTGAAAGCTAAAGCCAGAGTCATGGCTGTTCCAGATTTGGCCAATTCCTCATGCGGTATCAAAGAACTAGATGGAGTAGGCCTTGTAGATAAAAATGGGATACCATTATCCGGTTGGTCTAGGGATGTAGATCTCTCGTCTTTTGATGATGCTGATGATGAAACATGGATTAGACTTTCGAGTAAACATGGTCACCTTGATGAACAAGATGGATCTTATATGAGTGAATTACTCAGAAGTGCACAGTTGGTTACAGATGTTATGGAAAGTCTTGTAAAGAGGGTTATAATGGCGGAATCTGAAACTGCTATAGAGAAAGAGAAGGTAACGGTAGGTGAAGAAGAGATTAAGAGGAAGGCGCTCCAGATCGAAAACATGTCTGTTAAGTTAGAGGAAATGGAAAGATTTGCTCTGGGTACAAATCTTATCCTGACTGAGATGCGGCAGAGAGTTGAAGATTTGGTTGAAGAAACTTCTAGACAGAGGCAGAGAGCTGCAGAAAATGAGCAGGAGCTTTGTCGTGTTAAGAGAGACTTTGAGTCTCTGAAATCCTATGTCAGTAGTCTCATTAGTGTGAGAGAAACACTTCTATCATCAGAAAAGCAATTCCAGACTATTGAAAGGCTTTTTGAGCGGTAAGTATTCCCCTTTCGTCAAAAAGAAATTTTCATAACCATAACATGCTGGCAGACCTATTTCCTTCTTTCCTGGCTATGCAGTTTGTCTGTGATGCATGAAGTTTATAGTTAAATATATCGTTTTTCTCTCACTTTCGTACCACTGCATCTTATACTTGCCCTGCAGCTTGCTTTAATAACTGGAATACAAATGTCAAAGCACAACTTCTTCCTGTGTGTTCGAATAACGCTTGCCTTGCAGCTTGTTTATAATAATTGAAATACAAATGCACAATCATAAATTCACTGCATATTATATGTGTGTCATTTGGTAAGAAGATGCTTTGATAGCTCCATCAATTGCTACCTCATTTCTCTAGTTTGCTTGTTGGTCCCTTTTCGTTTATAAATGTTACTTTCCAGAGTAAATTTTTTCCTTGTTTTCACCTTTAGGCATTTATTTACTTGAAGGGAATGCAAGCGTGAACGCTCATTTGTTCTAAGTGCTTTATACATTTTTCCTTCGAGTGTGGTTGATTTAGATCATCAATACCATAATGGACTCTTGGACATGCTTAGTGCTATAACGTCCCTTTTAATCTATCGGGCTATTATAGGATCTTGTACTGATCCAGGGCCATCATAGCTTCTCCTTTTCTATTATTTTCAAGGCTTGGGGTGGGATGGGGGAATATTTGAAACTTAATGGTGTTGGTCATTGTTCAATGCAAAGGGCTGGGAGCCTGGGACTGTATGAAATTAACAATTTTGGGCATTATTCACATGACGTTATCAGGGATAGTTGAAACTAAAGAGAAATAAAAAAGTCCAAATTGTTGCTTATGGAGTTCTTTTACTTTATTTTGAAATGTGCTTTGTTGCACTAGGTAACTCCCAGATGCAAGACAGATATACCATCCGAAATATTGAGAAGTGATTGGAAAGCTTGATTATTCTTCAAGCTTGGTTGAGAATGTATAGCAGTTACTAGTTTACAATATGGTAAGATACAGATTCTAGGGAATAAAACATCTCCTAATATATGGCTGATGTAATATGGTCTTAGGCAATCCTCACCTCATGAGCTAGCTTTTGAGGTTGAGTTGGGCCCAAGGTGTATTTTCTTTACATGAGTTTTTGTGAGAACTTACTTCATAAAAAAAATTATTTGTGAGAAGTTCGATCAACCAGTCGAAGCAGCAGAGCTTAGAGTCTTTACTCTATGTAAAGTACACCTATTTTAAGGGTGTACGGGGGCCAAAAAACACAAAATTAAAAGGGTTTCTCTATTTTTCATAAAATTACTGGGTAAAAACTAAATTTCTTGGGGTTTTTTATAAAAAGTTTTGGATGTGTGCCGAGAGTTGCAGAATGGCACCCCAATAACCATCTTATCTTGCCCAGTCCTGGATATACTGTGTGACAGCACACTGGCTTGTCAAAGGCTTTTTTTTCTTACATATCAGTCCAGAAACTAAAGAATCACAAAGTATAAACAGTTTGATGATGCCAGAATGAAATAGTTGAGAATAATTAGTCTTATAGGGTGGCCACAAAATCAGAAAGAAGGCTTTACTGCTAGTTTGTAACTCCTCTAGGTTAATCCAATATTAGGCAATAGTGGGTAGTCAACTTCATCAATTAAGAAAGTTTGGCAAATGGTTTTTGGTGAATCGATTATTGATTGCGAAATGTGAAGATTGAAACCTGGATTAACGAAAAAATTGAAATCACAAATTTCAAGATGGCTGAGATCTGAAGTTGTTGTTTTGCACGTTCTCATGCATAAATGGTTACGTGTTGAATCCTAGTTCTCTCAATCTTTTATTAGTAAAAGAAGTTGTGTTCTCTATCTTATGACATAATGTTGAATAATCTTTTTCTTTTGATTTTTTTGCTTTTGAGAATGAAGTTGAATAATCTTTTTCTCATTGATAATATTTTTGAAATCTAGAACTTTTAAGATGCATTATATTTAAAATGATAGCGTTATTCGCACTTTATCCAATTAAATTGACATTTTAGTGTTGAGCAATACTGATTTTATAAAAAATTATTTATTGTTTTAGTTGTAACTTAATTGGTAAAATCATCTGCTTAAAGATATAGAAAAAGTTATACAATGACCCGGACATGTTGAATTATCAAAGAAGCACCCCTTTACAGAAGAATGGTAGATGTTATGTTCAACAGATTTCAGTCTTTCCTTATGATATGTTGAATGTCTAACACAAATCTAGACTTCTAAATTCCTACATGTGATGTCAGTACTTGATTATGCAAGATTTCTCCCTTTTTCCGCCCCTTCGAGCTGCTTGCTAAAATTAAAGTCTGAAGTCTTGAGCTTGAAATTTGAGTTACAGAAGTTCAAGTATTCATGTATAAATATATCATGAATACAAATTGAAGAGATCCTCTTTAACATTTATTAATTTGAAGCTGAAATATGATGATCTCTTCATTATGGATATGTTTTACTTCTTTAAAAAAAAATTGTGTAGCAAAACTAAATTCCAATCTTCAAATTACAGGTTTTCCCTTTAATTATTTGTTTTGTTTTTTCTTCCATTTTGTGTAACAAAACTACCTTATTTTACTGAAGTTCTGTATGCAGATCTCCATCACTTTAATAAATATTAGTTTCATATAAAAAATTTAGTTTTTTTAATTGCTATATATATACATGTAATCCTTTCATGTCACTGAAACCCAACATTGAGAAAAACAACAAATATGAGAAACTACAAATAAATAAGAAAAGAAAACTATTTTTCTCCTCCCTTTTGAGCTTATCTTTCGTTCTTTTTTCTTTAATTTCATGATATTTTTTTAATTTATTTTGTTTTCGTTTATATTTTTTAGTATGCAAATATTATTTTAACAAAGTGAATGGAGAACGATAAGATTAGATTCATGATTTACCATTATTTGAAAAAAAAAGGATTAGATTCATGATTTAATAATACTTGTCAAAAAGATAGCCGGTCCAATAACCAGTAATTTA